CACCCGTCCTCTTCCTGTGTGGCTAATGGCGTTGTCCTGGCAAAATTAATTAACTGATGTACTTCCGTCTGTCAGGAGGCCCAGCACAATTAATCACGTGGGGAATGAGACAATGCAGGGCACCTATAAATTAAATTCACAAGTTTCAAGCACTGTGAAGACCTCAGTCTAAACCTTATGGATTAGATGTCAAGTGGCTCGTAACTCAACAGAAGGTGCTGTAAAATCAAGTTCATCTTAAACCTAAATATGCCTCTGGATGTACCGGGATCACTCGTCTCTCAATTTGATGTTGGCGCTATAAAGTGTTAAGTGTGAACCTGTGGCTTTGCTTCATGCAGGCTTCCTCATTTACATGAATTAATGCATGAAGACTTCTTAGCATGAAAAATATGTCTAAATGGGTTTGTGGATCCATGGGTGTTACAAAAAAATCCTGGATTGGTTTCAAAATCATCCCATATGCATATAAGTAACAACCTAAAATATAAATAATTTTTTATAAAATATACATTATCATTCTTATGTTTGTACGTCAATGGATATAGTATCCAAACTTAAGGGGATAGTTCTCCCAAAAATGAAAAATTTCTCATTTACTAACCACAATGCTGTCCCTGATGTATATGACTTTTTTTCTTCACACATCTTTTTGAATGCATTTAATCCAAGTGTATGTGATCCCCAAAACTGATTCTTCAACAGAAATCAACGACAGTAATTCATACAATCAGTGTCTTCTGAAGCAAAATGACAGGTGTCAGAAAAATACTAACTAACCAATACCCACTGTTCTCTATTATAGATCAGTGCTAATACCACATTTTGAACTTTTTATTTTTTTTCATTTCTGGCCAACTGTCCTAGACGACTTTGTTTCGCTTCAGAAGACATTGATTCATCAACTGGGGCCATATGGATTACCATTGTGTTCCCTCTGTGTGGTTTTTGAAGTGTGAACTTTGGAGGTTCCATATGCTCAAAAACATGGATTTTATTTTCTAAAAATCTTTCTTTGTCCATCTGAAGAAAGAAAGTCATACACATCTTGAGGGTGAGTAAATGATGAGAGAATTTTCATTTATTGTTGGAGTATTCAAGTGATTTTCAGAAAAATAACATATTTTGCACCCAACTGCCTTCATCTAGTTTCCACAGAACATAAATCTTTACCATAGACATATGCTAAGATTTCATTATTAACATCTTTGACACCTCACCCACATACTGTACTACCACTAGTTCCTAAACCTGTGTGTCTAATTATGAAAATGCATTTATAGGTGACCAGATATCAGCTATTGTGACCTTATTGTGGAAAACGTATATATTTGTGATTGCACGTTTTAAATAGTCTATGATAAACACAGGAAATCATGAACATGTGTCTTTCTCCAAAGTCCCGTTATAAAAGTCAGTTCACTTGGCGGCCATATTCTTAATGTCCACAGGCAGCTATTTCCAGCTTTGCAAGTTCAGCTCATATTTACTTGAATGGGAAAAGACAGAAATCTCTGCAACATTTTGTTAAAAGTACATTTAAATAACATATTTCAAACCAGGAATAAAATCTGACAACAACAGTATCATAAAATGTGCTTAAGATTTCTTTCATTCATAATGTACAAGTGGACTGTCTCTGCTTTAGTTTCTGCTTCCTCAAACAGACAGGGCATCAATTTATTTACTAGCTTGAAAGTTATTTATGAAAATTCGACACCTGTTTAACACAACAGAATTATTTAATTAATATTAATTTATAGGGTTTAAAATGCAGTTCAAGTCTTAGACAAGGTTAACATCAACCCTAGAGACCAAAAGGCATTCTATAGTATTGCTGCTCTGAGTGTGAGTGTTCTCCAGCTGTTATTGGTCTGAAATGATTTTTCTTTTGTATATAATATAGAAATATAGGAATTATAGGTTTTATGGAAATGAGCATTAAAGGCACAATATGTAATTTTCGCTGCTAGAGGGCATGTATTCAAAACAAACAAAGAAACAAAGGTGTAGTTTGATGACTCCGTGACTGAGTGTGGAATCATGGGAGTTGTCGTCTTCATCCCCACAAAACATTTGGGATAATGTAAGTACACAAGTCAGCAAAATATATAACACTGTTCTAGTGGTTTTTGGATATTTTAATAAAAAAATCTTACATATTGTGCCTTTAACTCAAAGCAAATAATGTAAATTACTGAAAAGCACAGTTTAAAAGTCCCCACACTTCACAGTTTAGAAAAAAACCCAAACATTTTATTTACATTTACAGCATGTACCGTATGAACTACAATCTCTGGTATTTTATATATTTTTTCATGGTTAACGCTTAGTTAGCTGTATCCTCATACAGTAGCATTATGAATTGATCAGCAAATGTGTAGTTTGACAGAAATATTATTGGTTATTTTTCAATAACAGTTCTTGTAGAAACATATCAATAAAGAGACATTCTCTTGCCAAAAAAGTTCAGAATAGAAATCTAAAATGAGTTACCAATAACAAACATCACAAGAAGAAAACAAAAGAGAGTCCGCTTAGTCCAACACCACAGATTTTCTATGTAGGCCATGTAAGTATCAATGATCTAGTCATAGTAGCTTCTGTAACTGATGCAGTGCTCAGGAACACTGAAGCAGATAGGAGCAAGCTAGTATTCATATACAGACCCTCTGAAAACAGAGACATTGTCATCTTTTTTTCAACAGCACAATGCTGTTTTTTTTTTTTCTAGTGTCCCAATTTATCCCACCTATTATGTACAATACAAAAATGGTAGGAACATATTTAGTTTGAATTGGATGCAAAAATTAATTAATAAAAAAAAAAACATATGCTGGGAAGCAACAGTTTATCCTTTATGAAATGCTTAACGTGGTGAAGTGAAGTGACATGACATGACATGTGGCCAAGGTGACCCATACTCGGAATTAGTGCTCTGCATTTATCCCATCCAAAGTGCGCACACACACAGCAGTGAACACACACACACACCGTGAACACACATCCGGAGCAGTGGGCAGCCATTTTTTTGCTGCGGTGCCCGGGGAGCAGTTGGGGGTTCGGTGCCTTGCTCAAGGGAACCTCAGTCGTGGTATTGAAGGTGGGAGAGAGCGCTGCACATTCACTCCCCCCACCTACAATCCCTGCCGGTACGAGACTCGAACCCGCAACCTTTGGGTTTACGAGTCCGACTCTCTAAGCATTAGGCCACGACTTACCCCCTTATAATTGGTTAATAATTGGTTAATGGTTAGAATTCATCTTCCATATATGATTGGCAATGAGGGTGAAAGTAAAATTAAACATGTCAAATTAAATATAAAAAGAATCATGTAAGATGACATATGATTTCTTGAAATTTGTCACATTCAGTAGACGATTCTGTTAATTCAATGCTCAAATGTAAGATTAAAACCTTACATACACAATGTTGTGTGATGAATTCCCTGCTGGCAAACACATCTATTTAAAATGAAACTTGTCAGCTCATGTGATGAATTAGAGGTATATACTTCATGTACTGTTCTGATGCCTTTGACATATGAACCTATTAGGATTACTTCAGCAGTTGACTGGTGAGACCAGTATCACATCATCTTATCATGCTGTCCAAAATGACCAAAAGGGGGGAGAGAGACATCTCACATCAGCTTTTATGCTGACAAACATTTTGAGAAAGCAATACACAAGCTGATGTAAAACAGAGTTTCATGGCAGAGCATACAAACACACAACCCTTTGCACATATGGACACAAGACAAATTCACACACTCATCATCATCATGTTAGGTGAGGTATGCAGCTGCCAGTCAAATAAACCATTCCAGAAAAAAGTGATTTTAAAATACACAACAGAATTAATGTAAAATTCTATAGACAATGGTAAAATAACTCATATGGCAGATACAATACAAACATACAAAAGCACACGTACACAGTAAAAAAACAGTGGTTTACAAATCACCTCTATTGAAAATAATGCAGTTCTCAAATAAACAGTACATGTTTTAAGCACTGGGCTGCACTATGATTTTGTCCAGTGTGTGTGTTTTTTTTTTTTTTGCATTAGGCCATTGGTTTCCATAGTGACATTAGCTGGCTGTTTTTTATTTCATTATTTATTTCCTCATAGCCATTTTTGTCTGAAACTTGCACAGCAAACGATCTTAGAAATCATATTCCCTTGTCCTCAGCCACTATAGGGGCTATAATTGTACTAGCCTGATGTTCACTGATGTATAGAATTCATTTTTATATTCATAGGTTGTTGACATTTACAGTTATAAATAGATTTAGTGAAAAATAGATTTAGTGAAAAAATGCTGAACCCAAAATGCTGAATTTCCAATGCCACATTTTAGATACTATCTTGGCTTGAGGACTGTAATTCAAGGCAATTATGCAAACCTATTTTCTGAATTGAAGTTAATTGATGTGTGTTCAGAACAATGGCTTATAAATGGCACTAAATACTAGAAATGTTTCCTATCCCACAAGCTGCATTTGCAGAATAATCCAGGCTCTGACAATGAAAGCTTTCCCTTTTTTGTTCAATATCAGGATTTTTCATGGGGAAATGTAACCTTTTATACCCCTCTCTAGAGTCACTGCATCCATCAGGCCCACCATTCATATCTAAGTGCTCCATGCGATTTTAAGTCTGCTGTTTTCAGTGGCCAGTTTTTGTTTCTAGTGTCTCAAAAAATGAAAACACACTGTTGCAACAGGATGTAATATGCCACAAAAAAAACAAACAAAAAAACACCTCGTCTCATTGCTCTCATAACCACAGCAGTTGACCTTAATTCTACCAAGACATGAAAGTGAACCATTCATTCCCCCAGTTTACGCAGTTAAAAAATGTAGAAATTAAAAAGAAAAAAGAAGATATTAACCGTTTTTGCCTTGTGATTTTATAATTCAGTCACTTCACATATCTTTAAATAAATAAGATTTGTAAAGACACTTGTTAAAATAATTATACATACACCCTGGCTCTCACTGACATTGCTGAAGGTCTTAAAGCACACTGTCATCTTCATTCTGACAGCGTGTCCACAACCAAAATTTAAACAGCATTAGTAGAGTTAAATTCGTCCAACATGGTCAAATTTGTGTCTCCTGCACGTTATCCTTTGAGCTGGCTTGGATTAGTAAAGGTTCATGCACTGAACTATGCAGCGAGCTGAGAGCCGACACATGGTTATAAGCAGTTTTGTAGGAGTTATAGTGGTTGTAATGCTCCAAGGGCGGAAGAGTCAGGTGACTCTCCATGGCCGGAACCCTCGTCAGCTCCTCGTGTACACTGATGATCTCGATGGTGCGGGTCGGCCCATCATGATCCTGCTGGTGGTGCTGCTTGCGCATCTTGTAGAAAATTATGAGCATGACGGCAGCCATGAGTGTGATGGCCACAAAGCAGCCAATGATGATCTTGGTGGTTTTCATCACCTCCTCCAAACCATTGAGAGCCCCATCAATGTCTATATCAGTCACAGGAATGGTGTACGCTCTCTCTGTGGCAATAGGTGTTCCCCTTGTGGTTGAAGAGGACGCCCAGCCGAAAGAAGGCTGCACTGGTGTCCTACTCTCCCCATCGATAGCGGTTTCAGTTGTCTCTACGGTGACCGTAGTGAAGTAACTAAAGCCACTGTTGTCAACGGACGTCACGTTGAGGACAGCAGATGCCGAAATGTTGCCTAGCGTGTTGCTTACGATGCAAGTGTAGGTTCCTGTGTCCTGTATGGTGACGTTGGTGAAGTTTAATGTTCCGTCGTTTTGGACGGAGATGCGCATCTTGAGAACCCCATGTGTTATGATGGAGCCATTTGGTGTTAGCCAGCTGACCGAGGTCACTGAGTTCGTCCGACATTTTAGCTCTGCCGCCATTCCTTCAGTCAAATTGAGGTCGGCAGGTGGCTCAACGATAACAGGCGCGTAGCACTGAAAGTAGCTCTGGTCTAGCTCGCCGATGTAGCGCCCCTTGAGGCTGGGAGGGGAATTGCAGCGGGCGCAGCAGCTGGTGTTCGTAGGTACGGTCTCTCTCAGCCACCAGCTCAGCCAAAGAATGTCACAGTTGCAGTTCCAGGGATTGTGATGCAAATGCACTCGCTGCAGGTGGTGTAAAGGCGTGAAGAGATCATGGGGCAAAAAGGTAAGGTTGTTGTGAGCCAGGTTGAGCTCTTGTAAAGAGTGCAGGTCATCAAAGGAGTTCCGCTCTATGGTTTGGACTTGGGCGTGCATCATCCACAGCTTCTGAAGATGAACGAGACCCTTAAAAGAACTGGGCTGAATGACGGTGAGCTGGTTCCCAGACATCTCCAGCTCATCCAAGCGAATCAAGGGCTGAATATTGGGGACCTCTTTGAGGTTACACATGCCTAGATTCAGGTACCGAAGGTTACTTAAGCCCTGAAATGCTCCACTCGAAATGTAGGAGAGACGCTTCAGCTCTCCCAAGTCCAACCGCCGCAGGGAGGGCAAGCGACTGAAGGCATCAGACGGTATGCTCTCAATAGGGTTATTCCTAAGCCACAGCTCTTTCAGTTTTGATAGATACTCAAAGGCGCCATTTGGGATGGTCGTGAGGCGATTGTCAAAAAGCTCCAGAGTGTTAAGGCTGGTCAGCCCATTGAAGGCGCCAATCTCAATGTTGCGGATGTGGTTTCTGCTAAGCTGAAGAATCTCAAGGTGTCGTAGATGCTTGAAACTGTCTACTTTGATGACCTGGATCTGATTGTCCTGAAGGTTTAGATACCGTGTATTAGTGGAGATGCCATCAGGGACATCCTTTAGCCCTCTGCGTGTGCAGATGACCTTACTAAATTGATTACTGCAGGAACATACGGAAGGACAAGTTTGGGCTCGTACCAATCCAGCGACAACAAGCAACTGCAGGGCTAAAAGCAGGAGAAACAGGGGGTCAAACCAAGCCCCGTTCCATTTAGGACCTCTCAACATCTGGCGCTGATGGTAAGAGGTCATCTTGTTCAACATTCATAATTTAATGCCTGCTGATTTTCTCTTCCCAAAAATGTATTGGCAGTCTGAAAAAGAGGAAAGAGGAAAACAAATCTGTTAGCAAAGTATGTAATGTTGAATTGTCAGCGTAGCATGATGGCAGTCAAACAGAGCATCAATTTCTGCTGATGTTCTGCAATTTATCAAGAAGAACATTCTTCTGTCAAATGGAAATGCATGTACATTTCTGATATTCTGATGATGTTAAAGAAAAACAAGTATTGATGTTAAGGCACTGCACATGCAAAATAGAGTTTTCCAATGTGATTGATGAATTGAGCATCATTACCGTCACAGCTGTTAAATGAGCCTGCACACAGAAGCCATTTCTTGATTTCTTTTTGTTTTTGCACTGTATATAGCAGACCTGAGCTTAGTCAAGTAGTTCACTTTGACCTAACTATTTTCTGTCCCCACTTTCAAGACTTCCTGCATTTAACACAGGGGGAAAAAACTAAAAGTGAAAGTAAAAGTTTTAAAAGTGAATAATAGTGTCAGTTTATTAGGAACATAATTTTCAAAGGAAAAACTAGCCACACCCAGTAAAGAAAAAAGTATGAGTGATGTTATTGTAATGCTTAAAAACATGATATTTTTTGTACATTTGTTTCATTCTAATTATTAAGAGCCTTGAATGTGAAATTTCCTAAACCACTCCTGAATCTTTTATGCTATGCACTAAAATGAGATATATGGGAACCCTGTCACAGCAAGCTGTCAGAGGCATGGATTAAGCTGCAGACAGGCCCATCACTAAGGATATCTAGGAGATAAGGATGTGTATTTGGCTTGTATATTCCACGCTATGTGCTTGCACATGCTATGAAGATACATAGCAACCAAATTGTCAAAACAAGAAATGTGCCACTGCTACAGCACACACTAAATTTAAAATCGCTTCACCCTGCAAATCTATGCTCTCATTACATGCTCAAGTGTTCTTATGAAAAATAAGATGGCTTATTACCTACACTGTTTGCAAATAGGTTACTATAATCAGTATTGTTATAAATAATGAGAGGGAAATAAAAGGAGAGGTATGTTCAGGACCCCTGAAACTCGCTTTGACAAGCTAAATTGAATTTCAGTATATTATGAAGTGAAGCAATTGAGTATCCTGAAATACATAGAAATGCTTCCATTTATTAGATCATGAAAACTATGTTTTAATTACAGAATATAATCTCTTTACACAGTAGGAAATGAAATAAAGTATGAGACAGAGAGCTTTCCGATCAGCATGGCAACAGGCGCTGTGGATTGAAGTCACATGACACCAATAATAACAACAACCTCAATGCATGAGTGGGTTGCATGTTGGTTGATATACAGTATTATACAGTAAAAAAAAAAATGTTGCAGATAATTGTGAACAACTTTTGTCAGTATTAGATTAGTCTGTTGTTAGACTGCTAGAAGCAGTCTGAATTCTAGTTTGGAAACATCACATGCTTTGTAAGAGAAGATCAAGTCTAAATAGTTCTGTCCTTCTCATATCTCAGTCTCCTTAGAATAAAATTAATGATTCAATTTGAATTATTTGTATTTCTTTTCTGTCATATGCTATTATACTATGAAATGTCTCAGATGGTCTCACTGTGCATCTGTGCTGCTGATCATCTTATAAATATGGTTAAAACTTAGGACAGATTTATTTAGCTACAGTGAGACGCTAATCTCACTGGTAGGCAATGAATGTTAGTTAGCAGCAGCATAATTGACACCTTACTGTGAGAAGAATCCAATGGACGCACATTTAATGGGATACATAAGGTAATCAGGGCATGTCCTGGCAGGAGCCTCTTTTTCATGACCAAAAATAACCAAGGAATTTACAGAGGAAGCACACTAATCTCTCAGGTATTGATTGAGTGATTAGCTCAAGGCTTGCATCAAAAATGGGAGACACAAGAATTACTCTAAAATGTAAAAATTAACATTTTTATCTCATTAATTACATAATAGCAATCCACACATCATCCTATGCACAAGTATAAAACAGTAAGTTTTAGGCAGTTACTAAGTTTTCTGACACACACTTAAAGTAGAAATGAAGCAGTCAGTCAAGTTTACATTATTTAGTAAAGTGATTTCCACTTTGATTAAAAAATATATAACAAACATGATTAATGTAACCATTTTAAAGAAAAAAGGATGTTTTGTTATAGCTTTTAGAGCAAGGGCACCGCCATCTTGCAGTACCACCGCGTGTGACGTCACGGGGTTGGTTCGCTCCGATGGCCAGTGAAGTAATATAAGCATTTCTTTACATTTTGAACACACGCTTGTTTTGAAATGGAGGAAGATTGCATGGAAAGCACTGTTAAGTCCATAATAAGTGCAATTGCCTATGCATTTGAGCCGATACGGCGATGGGACCGAGCAGTATTAGGGGTTGAAGAAACCGCACCTGTAAAGTGCGGATCGGAAACAATACTCATTTACGTGGATACTCCTCAAGACTGTCATTCCGACGTGCTTTGTGTGCATTTGCTGATGAAGGCGCGACAGAAAGCTCAATTTGGTAGCCTACTCGTGTGCTGTGGCTTTGTGTGTGTGCAGCGCCGCCGGCGCGAACAGAAATGATCTATCACAACGCCTGAGTACCGCATTTAAATCTCTTTCAGAAAAGGTCTATCACAGCGTGTAAGTAAATACCGCACTGAAATCTATTCCGTGCTGTCTCGCACTTGAATGGCTTAAACACTTTAATATTTAAACTGACAAGGCTTAAAACACGTGAGAATGATAAACTTTATTGAGGAAGCAGCACTGGTCACTTTACTAAATAATGTTAACTTAATTGACTGCTTCACATCCACTTTAAAGGTGCAATAGGTGATTGTCTTCAGAAACATTTTTTGTTATGCTGGTTGAAAGTCTCTTCACATCCGGATAGCAATCTATATGTATTTATATATTCTGTGGAAGGCGTAGGACCAAGAAATGTTCGTCCAATCAAAACGCTCGGTCCGAGCATTTTGGTTGGCTTTCCTACCTGCCTGTCAACATATGCATTTGTACCCTGTCCGCGCAGACAGGATACGTCATCAGTGCGTTCACGCACACTGTACAGACAGAGCGAGAATGGCAGACAAACATCAACAACCTGACCTTCATCCTGGTATTGTAGTACTTTTACTAACTGTACTATAAAGTTTTCTCACCGGTTAATAACACATGATGTATTGTAGTAATGTTGCCTCTGGTCGTCTGGTCTGTGTGTGCGTTCGCTTTCAGTTCTATCAGGCTAAAGTTAGCATTTTCCAAGATCTCCTACTGCACCTTTAAGATGACATTTTCACAATTGTCACATTCAAACTCATATGTATTCGACATATTTCAAACTAGTCTCTATCTGTCTCATTGTGGCCTCATTATACACTCAGAAAAAAAGGTACAAAATTGTTACTGGGGACATACCCTTTCAAATGGTACTAATATGTACACTGTAGGCAGTGTTGGGGAATAACTAGTTACATGTAACGGCGTTACATAATTTAATTACACAATAAATGTAACTGTAATCAGTTACAGTTACTAAGAAAAAATGTGTAATTAAATTACAGTTACTTATGAAAATGTTAACGATTACAAAGGGGGTTACATTTGAATATTTACACACATCCACATACAGATTTAATTGATTTCTTTCCCAAATTGCACTGATTACTCTGAGACATAATTTCCGCGATGTGGAAAACACAGACTGGTTTGTAGAATCCAGTCATAAAAACGGAAGTCCTATAAGCCTAACGCCGATGGAATATGCCACATTTTGGACGAATAAATCAAAAGTAGGTCAGTACACTTGAATCAAAACGCGATATGGACTAGTGTCTGTGAATATTAAGCCACGAAAAGACAATATATGAATCCTGCACGTTCTGCGTGTCTGTGGAAATCAGGTTGAAAATGATTAACAGTTGCAAATAAACATTCATTAGAAATTTTGAAAAGTAATCAAAAGTAATCAGTTACATTACTTTAATAAAGTAATTGAAAAAGTTACACTACTATTACATTTTAAATAGGGTAACTTGTAATCTGTAACCTATTACATTTCCAAAGTAACCTTCCCAACACTGACTGTAGGTACTAATTTGAACCATTTAGAGGTAAATAATTTTTAAAGTACTAACATACCTTATTGAGAGTGTATGTTGTTATATACTTAGTATTTTTAGCAGAAGTTATATCATTAAGATATAACTATGCTGCAGGGAAAAATTCAAAGAATTTGATGATATTTGCATAATATTCTTTGAAAACTGCTGCCATTTCCTATAAGAATCAATACTTTTTTAATCACAAGCAATAACAGCATTTTAATAATCAGAAGCAATTTCATAATTATTCGAATGCATATACAAGGCTTGTCCTTGCTCTTTGTTGATGATGATGAATCTTGAGAGTGAAGCGCTAATTTAATGCATTTGACTGAATTTTTCCCTGCAGTACAATTTCCAAAGCCTGCATATTCCTTAAGGTCTCTTATGCCAATCAAATTAATTACTTTAGTGCTCCACAGATAAAGCTTTAACACATATATAATAACACACACACACGCACACGCACACACACACACACACACACACACACGCACGCACGCACACAAATAAATAAATACATAAATAAAGACAAAAATGAAGTTAATCTAATTAAATTAACCTCCTTTAGAGAGCGGTTGAAATCATCTTTTTTCAGCTTTTGGACAAATTTATTTTAATATTGTATGAAACAGACAACCTACTCTTGCTCAAACATTATGTTCACATGAGTGCTACAGTCTAAGCTCATTCGCAACTGAAGCACAACTGAAAGAGTCCTGTAAGTTCACTAGTGGCTATAGCATGCTCTCAGCCATCCTCTGCATAGCTATAATTTGTTCTCAGTCAGTCTGATAACTCTTTGAAATGCTAACACATCAGAGAGGTTAAATAAGTGGACCGGCAAATGATGAATGTTTCTTTTTTTAACAGCTCCTATAGGACACTGGGAGGGACATTGATTAAAGTCATTATAC